TTGAGGCTGCAGCTGAGTCCGAGTTATAAACCAAAATAAACTAATTCTAAGTCGGTTATGGACTGATACTTATATAGTGCTATTTAACACATAAAGCACTTTTTTACTACTCATTCCCCTTCTTAACTTTTATCTATGCTTTGTTAGTGCTTAGTAACATTCACTCAGTCAGGGATCAGTCCATCGACCTTCTGATTGGTAGATGATCCACTCGATCACCTGAGCTACAGCCTCTTATCCCTTCAGGTTTATACTAATCAAAGAATAGACTATAACTAATTAATGCAGTGCAATATTTGGAGATTCTACTCACAACTTGAAAACAACAATTCAGATGTTTTGTCTGTTGTTTTGCATGTTTGCTTTTGCATAAGTCTTTTGCATCATCTTGTGGCATCATCAAGAATGGCAAATGGCGGGCAGGCGGAGTGGACACCTAATGTTATGAATGCGATAACTCGAGAAGGAGGCAACGTAGGAGGTTCAAACTGATACCACATCTCTGACGAGTTCGAAACTCAGTGACCTCAACCTCAAGGTCAGAGGTCAAGTTTTCTGAAAATCTCGTGAACGCAATAACTCGAGAAGAAGGTCTAATGGTACGTCGCAGTCTGCACTTTTCTCCACCTCAGATAGGTGATTTGTAACGCGCAGTCATAGTTTTACAGTTAAATAACTTCTTGCACAGCAGCAGTACTTAGATTGTCTGGAATAACTTCACTGATGTGACAAATCTTGTCATGTTTTGTTTTGTGTGTGTGTGGGACTTGCTTGAATCGAAGACCAGGATTTGCAGTTTTGATGTGATTTTATTTTCAGTTATATTCATGTGCGCACAGATGTTTACCATAATCGTCACCACTCTCAACTTTAAAGTAACAAAATACAGCAGATGGCAATGAAAAGACACCTTTTACTGAGGCATAACTTATTATTAACATAAACAAAAATGAGCATTTTTGTAAATGACATCGTTTTTGTCACTCCCTAACAAATAAGCAATGTATATCATTTCGACCCCACAGTCTTAGTCCAGCTGAAAGTTTCTAACCCTCTGAAATATAAGAACAAGAACAAGAACAGTCAGCAAGGTTTCTTGCAGGATCCTTAACACAGCTCTGTCATTTAACCTCTAGAAGGGAAGCCTCTTGGAAATGAGATAGGGTGCTTTCTAAAAAACTAAAAAGTTTCCATTTGCTCTTGTAGTCCATGTTGTAGGCTTAGTACTAAAGACTGGTCACGGTAGGGAAGACATTAGTTGCAAGAAAGCAAACAGTCAATAGGAAGAGCAAAAGAAGAAAAAAATACTTATCAATTACATCTCAAAAGCACTAGCTATTATTTAATTCTTTAACTTTTTATTTGCTTTTTTTTTTTTTAAATAGACTCTGCATCCAAGTACAATCCATCACAGAAAGGAAGTCTCAGCCCAGATGTTTGATGGCCACACACACCTCAGTCAGCCAATGATTGCCTCTGGTTTTCTAGATTGATGTGTAGGCAAGATATCTATACTGTACTGGGCATTCTTCCACAGGTTTTATTGGCATTGTCTCCATTATTCGAAGGTCAAAGATACATAGCATCAAACTTTTGTCCTATGATGACATTTTTTTCCACTTCCTGATCAGTTCTCTTTTCTTTGTACTCTTGATGTGCTCTCCTGTGCTCTCCTGTGCTCTCCCGTGCACTAGCAGTTTACCCTTTAAGAATGTGCATGAGCCTGTGTTTGCGTTAGGGTGTGATCTAGATCTCATGCGTGAGTGGTGCTGCCCTGCGTAATGCTTCTGAAGCACAGGCCTCCTGTTCCCCTCCCACTACTTTAGCCTGGGGACATCCGAGCTTGTGCACTCACACACATTCACAGGCAAATATAAGATGATAAGAGTCAATACTGGCAGACACCCCAGAAAAAAAGAGATTAAATAGAAAATTGATCAGGATAACGGAGATACCTGTATGGATACATGCAATACTTTTAGGGACGTTAAATCAGTACTCAAAATACTTGTTTTTCACTATTTATTTTTTAATCATTGAAACAATTCAATAGCAATGCACTATAACATTGGTTCAACTTTGTAAATAGTTACTTAGTGGTTCTCCTTTCTTAATATAATATGACCCAGACAAATGTAGAAAAACAATGTAAAAAACTGAACATTTATCCCTAGACTCAATATAAATAACATTGAAAAGAAGAGGATAGTTCAAGGGAAATATTTGGTTGCACTTGTTATCATTGATGTCCAATATAAAAACTAAATGCATTTGCTCAGAACTGAAACTTTTCTCATAAGATATGAGCCTGACCACAAAATAGCAGTCAAATAGAAGTCTGTCTGGGGTTTAGCCGTCTGTCTCCTGCTGGATGTCCAGCCATGTAGAAGCATTGACCTTTAGGTTGCAGTATGTACAGTATGCAGCATGGGGTATAGCACCCTCTGGGGTGGGACAGAGGTCACTGCATTGCGTCTTTACTGTCACCGGGAACAGAGTTGCACTTCCTCAGCTGCTCACTGATCAGGTATCATCGTCGTGCTTGTAGAGTTGGAAGTAAAACTCCGCATGTGTTTGCTCTGATGATTAAATCCCTGGTGGCTACTACACCGCATCAGGTGTGAGTAGAATGCAGGCGGGCAGTGAAGGCTTGAGCTGCAGATTCACCTGGAGAAAGGTGCATGGGTGGAGCTACACGGATGGGAGATATCGATGTCATAAATTCTCACGCCCCTTTTTCCCCTTCCCTTCTCTCTCTCTCTTCCCCATCTACCCTCCCTCTTCCCCCTTCTCTTCCCCTGTCTTCAGCTCTTGCACAGGATCACATTAATATTCCTTTGAAGCCTGTTTCAACTGCAGCCAGATCTCCCTGTCCCTCTCTCACCCGCACTCCTTTCCCCTCCTCGTTTTGTTCCCCTTTCTCTCCCTCTTGCTTTCTTTTTGTTTTCAGAGCTATTGTTTTCTAGGAGGGATCACTTTCCCACCATTTCTAACCGGTGCAGAAGGGAGGGGCAGTTTTATTACCCTCAGTCAGGAGTTCCCCTTGTTGCACAAATGCATGCACGCCGCACATGGACGCACGCACATACACACTAAGGGGTGGTGGATGCCGATGCCTTTGACAGACCGTGTTGATTGGTTCAGAATGGTTGCTGCCTCTTGTAGGAGAGTGGAACGGCTATTTTTAGATCAAGGGGTAGCTGGGAGAGAAAGACTGAGGAGGGCTCTGTGTGTGCGTGTGTGCAAGAGTGTGTTTGTAAGGAATACTGCAGTCTTGAACGAAGTTTTGTCCTTATACACATACATACGCTCAACCTGATACACACATACACATCCTTGCACTTATGCAGCAGTCCCCCTGTAAAGCCAAGGTGGTGTGTATTCCATGTGCTATCATCCCCTTTTCTCTCCTCCCTCAGACTTTTTCTTTTGCTTCGCCACCACCCCTCTCCGACAATCTTTCTGTCTCTCTTGCTTCTGCCTTTCTTTCTCTCTTTCTGAGTAGGCTCAGTGTGCAAATGTCAGCACTTTCCTATTTATTTGCCAGAGCCCAGAGCAACGTCCTGCTCCCTCTGTTTACCTCCACAGCGCTGCCCCATCGGCACAGCTTTTTTCGCCATTGCCCTTCCCCCTCTTTAATTTTTTTTTTCATCTTCTACATCTTCCCATTTTCTCTTCCCCAACTCAATCTTTTATTGCCCGCACTCAGATCACGCCATACTTTCCCATCTTCTTTATACAGCTTTGTTGCGTTCTCTTCATTTGAATTCCTCCCCTTTGCCATCTCAATTCCATTTTTTGCACCATTCTTGCTTCACCCATGTCCTTACCCTATCCCTCCGCCCCCCCCC